TATGACCAGGACTATCTTCCCTCACTTATAACAGAGGGAATCTGGAAAGCTAATATTCCATGGTAGGAAAGATACCCCTTTAGTAAGGTAGAGATAAAGTCCAAGTACTTTATCCTGCTTTAAATATCACTCCCACAGTTTCTCCCCTAACAGCAATGGTTCCTTAAAGTGAGCACAAGGTTGATTCTATCTCCCTGTAGAAGATGACATCCCCCCTCATGCCTTCTCCCAGGGCAGGTATTAGGTTTCCTCACCTGTGAGCTCAGGGACTTTACTGTGATTACCACCCACCTTGTGACATACAGAACTCCTGAATATGCATGCCTATGGCTACCTAGAAATGTCCCAAGACAATAAAGACCATCTGCTCTCTTCTCCCACCTCCATGGGGACCACCAAGAGGGGCTGAGGTAAGCATGCTTACCTCATGGGTCTGACTCCTTTATGTTCCCTCCTATCTCTCCTATCTTCTATGACTTTACTATAATCTATATATATTATCACCATACAATTGTGCCTACAGGCCCAGTGGTTGTTAGAGTCTGGTTTACTTTGACCTTGAACAGCAGATTTACCCAATGCAATGCTTCATTTGATCTCGACTGTTGCTTTGACAGGAGCATTGATTGTGAATCCAAGCAAGACAAAATCCTCAACAACGTCAATCATTTCTCTGTTTCTCATGATGTGACCTATTGGCCCACTTCTGTAGATTTTGGTCTTCTTCACATTGAGTTATAACCCATACTGCAGGCTGTAACCCTGGATCTTCATCAGCAAGTGCTTCAAGTCCTCCTCACTTTCAGCAAGCGAGGTTGTGTCCTCTGCATATCACAAACCTCAATAAGCCTTCCTCCAATCTTGATGCAGTATTTCCACTACATTGACACAATAAATGTAAATAGTTTCAAGAACATATACAACAAAATGTGAAAATAGTAGTGATGAGGCTTTTATATTTATTATTCTCATTTTAATACAATTAACAATATACATTAAAATGTACGTTTCCATCATTTAAGTTTTTATAATGGTCGGGTTCAACAATACAATTCTAGAAATGTCAGGAATCCATACTAGGGGGGAAAAAGGAATCCATACTAGAAGGCTGGAAAGAACGGGCTCTAGCATGGCACCAAGCCCCAACAGTTCTACTGCCTATGGGCCCGCTGCCTCAGCCAGCGATGTAAGCATTTTCAGTTTGTACTCGGTCCTGCAAAGTACGTAGCTGGTCCTGCTGCCAACTAACCCTTAAGCTGGAACCCCAGCAGAACCAGGTGAACTTGAAAACTAACAAAAGGCCTAAAAGGCTTTGACTCCCTTGGCTGCTTTCCACTGAGGAAACTCACTTGGAGTCAGAGGGCATGTAAGGACCATTCAGTGCTGCCAGCGCCCCGAGATCTGGAGACCAGCTTTGTCTAAACGGGCCACACCGCCATCTGGTGGCATCTAGGTGTCGGGGCTCCCTGGCGGCCAAAGCCAGAATCCTTCGAAAACAAATAACAGCAGTCCAGAAGGAGAGTCTGGGTCCAAAGAAGGCATAGGGTCAAGGGTGGTACGGATCCACGTACATTCACACCTCACCTAAGAGCTAGAGGAGGCCTCAGAGACCACGAGGATGATGGAAAAACTAAAGTGCAGAGTGAAAAAGAGGCCAACACCCGCATGCAGAATCCCAATCTAGCTCTGTTGACTCCCAGTGCAGCATCCTTTCAAGGTACTGCAAGAGTCTAGCACTGTGTTAGGCCCTGCAGACAGGCCAAGGGGCTCAAACCACAAACCACATTCAGACTCTGTGCCATACACTTAGGAGTTTTACTGATTTTACAACAACCAAGATTACTCACTGCCATTGAGTCAATGCTGACTCATAGCGACCCCCTGTGGGCTTCCGAGACTGTGACTGTTTACAGAAGTAGAAATACCTTTCTCCCAAGGAGCAGCTGGTGGTTTCGAATTGCCAACCATGTGGATCGCAGCCCAATGGGTAACCACTATGCCACCAGGGCTTCTTAGCTAAGATTTGAAGATCCTGAAGCCTGGGGAGGTGAGCATGCCCATGACCACACTGCTGGGAAGTGGCTGAGCTGGGCCTGGAATCCAGATCTGGGTGACTGCCGAAGTCGAAGTCGGGGCAGGAGATAGGTGTAGGGGCAAGGACGACCCAAGAGATCTGAGCCTCGGGCTGTGAGTAAAGGCTCCTACTGAGGACCCCTGGGCAAGGACTGTGCTAGGCCTAGGGTGGTGGGAGCATGACAAATGTAGAGAAAAGTAGAGACAACCGTCTCTGCTTGCCTGCAACTTATTGCTTACATAGAATGTAAGGCTGAAAGAAGTTAAAACATCATGGGCGAGGCATGAAGAAACTTGATTTTACAAGACAATCTTGGGTTTAAATCAGAGTCCTGCCATCTCTTCCTCTTGTGGCCTTGGAAAAAAAAAACACTTTATCTCTCTGAATCTTATCTTCTTTATCGATAAATGAAGATTTGAAATATTTCCTATCTCTAGAGCTACTGGAAAGCTCACCTAAAGCACACGGGGCAAATGCTTACATGTTGAATAGATAGCACGGTTAGACCGAGGAGGGAGTGGTGGCTTTGGACATGTTATCACAAGGGACCAGTCCCTGAAAAAGTACATGCTTGGTAAAGTAGATGGTCAGCAAAAATGAGTAAGATCCTCAAGGAGATGGGATGACCCAGTGGTTACAACAGACTCAAGCCTGACAATTCGGAGGACAGTGCAGGACCTGATGTGTACAGAGTCCATTGTACATAGAGTTCCAGTGAGTCAGAACCAAGTCAACAGTATCTAACAACAACCACCTAGATCCAAAGGGAGGTGGTCAATTTGGTGTTCATATCAGATGTGTGAGGGCGAGAGAGTATTTGGGAGTTGCCAGCCTAGAGTGGACACATAGTTGACATCATCTGACACGTGACTATAAACAGAGAAAAGAAGATGGCCAAAGGCTGGACAGTAGGACAGTCTGGCATGTAGGGGGGATGAGAAAACAGCAAGGAACACTGAGAAGAGCTGCCAGGAGGGAGGGTGCCGGAAAGCCAGGAGGGACCGGTGTCCTGGAGCAGAAGTGAAGAAAGTGTGTCAAGGAGAAGGAAATGGCCAACTGTGTGCGGTAAGATGCCGGTGGTCAAATGAGGGCTGAAGCTTGGCCATGGCTCTTGGCAAGGTACAAGACTTTCTTTCACACGTTACTTCAGCGCATTGAGGGAAAAGCAGAAACGTGAGAGAAACGAGATCACAAGTCAGTGGGAGGAGTCGGAAACCTATAGTAACTCTTGAAAGTATTGCTGTTGTAAAGGAGAATAGGGGAATGTGAGTTCGAGAGTTGTTTTAAACACGGTGTGTGTGTGGAGGGGGGGGGGAATAGAAGCTTGCATGATGACAGGGAAAGGCGAAGGTGCAGGCGAGGGTAGAGAATTCCTAGAGCTACCTTAAGCAGGAAAGGAAGGACGGACCGAGTGCCCAGTGGAGGGTGGGCTTTGGCCAAGTGTACCCTTGCAGCAGGCAGTGGAACCCTGTGCTTCCCATCTCTGCCTTTCAAACTCAGTCCAACGGAATCGCCCCCTCCAGACGGTCTCCCAGATTTCTCCAGACCACACCCAGCGGGCGTCGTTCAGAGCGGGGACGCCCAGGGTTGCGGTCACTGAGTGTGCGTCTCTCTCCCCAGTTTCTGGGTGCCTAGAGAGACCGCAGCGAAGGCACCTCTCTAAATCGTTCTCCACCCCACCTCCAGACCCTGCCGGAGCCCCGCAGCGGAATGAGCCCGAAGCGCACCGCTACGCAGCAGGTTTCACAAAGGGGGGGGGGGAAGGGGGAAGTGGGGAGCGCTGAGTGAAGCTCCGGTCGAGCGCCCTCATTCCTTACCCCGCTCTACTCGCGTTTCTTCGCCGTCCGGCGTGCTGGCCGGACTTGTCCCACGAAGGCTACCGTACGGGACGTGCACCCAGGGCGGAGGGGGCCTCGGGCCAACGCTCGGGGGTGGGGCCTAAGGCGGGGCCTGAACGCGGATTGGACTGAGCGTTTAGAGAGCAGTTTAGGGGCGAATTCGGGACCGGCCCGGGACTGACCTCAGGGAGGTGGGGCCTAAGGACTGCGCGAGGCGGGACTGAGCTGTGGGCGGTGCCTGGGCGGGGATTGGACCGAACGTTCGGAGGCGGGACTGGGCTGTGGGCGGTGCCTCGGCGGGGATTGGACCGAACGTTCGGAGGCGGTACTTGGGGGCGGGGCCATGCCGGAAGTCAAAGGTCGGTAAATAGTGGTGATGTCAGGCCGGCAAGATGGCGGAAGGGTGAGCCCGTCATCCCGCTCCCGAGCGTTGGGGCCTGAGCTCTCCCAGGGTTAGGGTGCGGGGCTAGGGGTGATGTGGGGGACAGGAAGGCAGTCCGGCGTGGGTGGGAGCCAACGGGGCCGAGTGGAGTCGCAGTGCGCGGGGGCGGGGGGGCGGTCTGCGGAGCCTCTGCTCGCGGGCGACGTCGCAGGGGGGAAACTGAGGCCCAGTCCTTGGGCGAGCAGGGCTCGCCCTGAGGGCCACCCGATGTGTCTGTCACCCACAGGGAGGACGTGGGTTGGTGGCGGAGCTGGCTGCAGCAGAGCTACCAGGCAGTCAAAGAGAAGGTAAGCCAGGCCGGTGCCCTCTGCCTCCGCCAGGGCCCGCGCTGCCTCCTTGCAACCTGCTCCCCGGCCCGGGGCGACCTGTGCGGGCGGGCGCCGGACCTCCGGCTGCGGGAGACCTGAGCCCCCGCGGGTGCACGGACACCCCCGCCCCCCGAGAAGACCAGCGGGATACCAGTGGTCTGATAGGAGCTCAGATTGCTCAGAGGACAGGAGCCCATAGCCAAGAGGAATTTACTCTTGAGTGGAGAAGCTCAGAACTGCTTCTTGGCAGAGAGCGTATTTGAGCTAGGTCCTAAGGAAAAAGGACTAACAACAAAACCTCCTTTAGTCGTTCGAATATAGCTTATATACCCGACAGGTCCTGAGACGACAGATGTTAGCCGAACACATGCAGCCCTTAAAAAGCCCACCGCCTGCTGGGAAGATGTCTCCACTATTAACCGAATAGCCAAGCAAAAAGCGATTTAATTACAGCTGTGGCACGCTTGAAAGTAGAGAAGCATCACTTCTACACAAGGTAGTCAGGAGCACACCAAGGAAGGCCTCCATGGGGGGCGGGGGTGGGGTGAGCCTCACTGAGGCCAGCCTTGCCTGGGATGGGTAGCAAGGACTGTGGTACCCAATGAGTGCTGTCATGGTGAAGGATTTGCAGAGGAACTTAGGAAGAGAGGAGATAGATGCCCAGAGAATGGGTGGGGAGGACTGGGGGGGGGCGTGTACCTTGAAGATTTGCCATTATTAGTTCCTGTTTGATCCACCTGTAGGTTTGTCAGAATCAACCTGACTGAATTGTGGGAAAAGTTAATTATTATTTACATCAAGCAACTGGGCTGATTCCTGCTTCAGGATAGAGACTCCAGGAGGCTCATGGCCTCAGGGAAAATTAGGTCTCTACTCAGCGTATTCCTCCTCTAGCCTGAGTCCTTCTGGACCAACCTCTTAGCCACAGTCCAACAAATTAGAGACCTTGAGCTGCTTGATGTTGATGAGGATGGAGAGAGAGGCGTTCACACTGGGGTTTAATAGAAGATGACCCAGAGAAGCTTGCTTCCTGGTAGGTGTCTCTTGGAAGGAGAGTGATGTTTATTCAGCACATGTTGAGTGAAGGCCCCTGTTGGGACACTCAAAGGTAGGCCCTCCCAGAACCCCTGGAGAATAAATAGTGGTCTTCCTTTTATCCTTGTCCCCCAGGGGCCACCTAGTTTGAAACCAGGAGGGGGGAGGGGTTCTGCCTTTGGTGACTGCTCACTTGGAAAGAAAAGATCTTAGCTGCCTTCTTTAGCTACTTTTAAATGAACTTGGACAAGTTATTGTAACTTCCTTAAGCCCCAATTCCCTTTTGGTAAAACGAGAATGCGAATAATACCTCCCTGGCGGAATTGCTTGTAAGGATTGGATGATAATACGGGGAAAGCGCACAGGGCAGGTCTGAGTGTAACGTAGGCAGGTGCTGCTCTTCTGGGTGCTGGCAGTGACAGGGAAGCTCCACAAACACTAGCAGGCTCCACAGACACTGCAGGCCCTGTTGCTTCCATTTTGTTCTGGGTCTTTTAGTGCTTTCCTGCCCTTGCTGCCTTCTCTTTCCACACTGGACCCTCCTGCGTGACTTCACTTCTCACGACTGTCAGCTCCCTTGGACCCCTTACTTAGCACACATTGCCCTGAAGACTGCAACTCTGAGATTGTGTGATAACTGCCTTCCTCGGCCCTTTACCTTTTCCCACTGGGGGTGGAGTGTGAGTGTGTGTGTAAAAAGTCACATTGCCTGTCAGCCCCCCCAGATTCCCAGTCTCAGCCTGGCCTGAGTATTACCCCCACCAGCAGGCCTTTTGAGTCACAAATTGGCTTCTCCCCTTACTAGCAGAAACTCCCCCAAAACTGTACTCTCCCCTTCTCACTTTCAGGAGACAAACCTCACCCCTGTTTTTTAGAAGTTGAAGTCAACAAGCATGATCTGTCTTAACACCTTGGCCACCCCTGATAAACATGCTTATCTGTCTTCACACTGGACCGCACATGTGACTTGCCTGAGCCAGTGGGTCGTTTTCAGCCCTTATCTTCCTGGGCCTGCATGCTGCACTTGACACCGGTGACTACTCCCTCTTTCTTGACACTCTACTCCTTTCTCAGATTTCGTGACACGGCTGTCCATTCTGCACACGCTTCTTGGATCTTTCCTCCCCGGTGCTTCAGAAGTTCTTTCCTCTGCCTGCCCCTAAAAGGGGGTGATCTTGTCTCCAGCCCAGCACTCTGCTCACTCCACACTTCTGTGCCCACGATCCCACCCCCAGAGCTTCATGTTTGAGGCCAGCTCCTCCTGGACAGCTGTCCCAGATAAGCCCACCTTCTGCTCTGACTTCTACAAAGCTCCCCTGACTGTCAGTAGCAGGATGAAGCAGGCGTATCAGGAGTTGGTCTGCGAGGAGCAGGGGGCCTTGGACCATGGGGGGTGGCAATGTGGATGGAGAGTTCAAGTAAGAAATGGTTCCCCATCTCCAATTAAGGAGCCCCAAGTCAGATGGAGAGGAGTCCCAGTGGCACAGTGGTTAAGTGCTCAGCTGCTAATTGAAAGGATGGTGGTCTGCACCCACCAGCTGGAAGACAGATGTAGCAGTCTGCTCCCATAAAGATTACAACCTTGGAAACCCAATGGAGCAATTCGACTGTCCTGTAGGGGGACTAGAAGTTGGAATTGACTCAAAGTCCACGGGTTTGGTTTTTAAGTCTGGTAGGAAGGCTTTAGTCCCACCCCGTAGAGAGGCCCCGCTGAGAGATGAGGCTGTCCCAGGCAGTGACCTCCCCTGCTGGCTGGTGACAAGGAAGCAAGCCCCGCCCAGAAGAAGAGAAAACTGGGACACTTAATCGAAACATGTGTTTTAAAACTTCAGGTGGATTACCCCCAGGTGAAATGAGAGGGCCTGAAGGGGGGGTGGGTGTGAGTGCAGAGGTGGCCCAGGAAAGCATCCTAGAGTGGACTGTGAAACAAGACAGGCTGCGACTGAACAGCACTGAGGGGCTGTGGGCTGGGCCCTGGGCCGAGTTGGAGAGCAGGCTAGGAAGCAGATTGGTTCGATAGGAGAAGCTGTCGGCTCTGGCCAGTGGCACTTTTCTAGGGACAGAGCCAGGCCAGCGGGAATGAGAAGGCCTTAGAGAGAATCCGAGCCAGCACTTTGTTCATGCCCCCTGTGTTGAATGTGAAAGCCACACGCCTTTTCGTCATATTACTTGGAAATAAAGACTTTGATGTACAGCAAACCAAAGCAGTGGGCCGCAACCTGTCAGTTTCAGACTAGATGTGCACCCTCCCCGATCACTCCTGAGACTCAAGATCTAGTTCATCTCCCTCATGATAGAAATCCCGGGACGACTGACTTGCCAGTGGCCATGCAGCTCTCTGGAAGTGGCCCGGCTTGAGCTTCCCCCTCCCCCTTTACTGTCAGGTGATCCCAGGTCGCAGAATTGGGACAAGGGAGCATTGTATCTGAGCTCAGGCTCCCCACGTCCGCCTGGTACTCCACGGGCATAGGGAGCAGGAACCAGGGCGGCTGCGGCCAGCTGGCTCTACCTTCCCTCTCTGCCTTCCCATAGTCCTCCGAAGCCCTGGAGTTCATGAAGCGGGACCTGACTGAGTTCTCCCAGGTGGTGCAACATGACACAGCCTGCACCATCGCGGCCACGGCCAGTGTGGTCAAGGAGAAGCTGGTTGTGAGTACCAACCATCCCTTCCCAGGGCTGCCACCCCAGCCTCACCCTCCTGGGGCCCCCAGGGGGCTCCTTCCTACATCTGTGGTTCTTTTTCCCCATGCTGCCCATGTTGAAAGAGGTGCGTTGCACCAGCTTCATATATGAAGTCTTAACTGCCTTTCCCACTTGTGTATTGTGTGTGCACATGTATATTTGTCAGCAGTTATTTATTGTGTATAACTTCATACAGATTAAAAAACAAACCAACCCTAGAGACCGCCATAATTCCACATTGAGGATTTAACCACTGTTAATAAGGGGCATGGCTTTCATTCATGCATGTATTCATTCATTCATTCCTTCTCTCATTCAGCAAATTCCGCTTTCGTGTCCCCAGGTGCCGGGCACTGTGGTGGGCTCCCGTTTCACAACGTGAGGCCGTGTGGGTCTGCCCGGCTAGCCTGAGCCACTCTCTCAGTACCCCCTCCCTGCTCAGGGGCATTCCTTTTTTTTTTTAACATTTCATTTTTGAATTGTTCTGTTTGGTGAAAAGTGAGCTATGTGTTGTGTTTACAGATTTATTTCTTTAAACGTTTTCATTCGCTTTAGGGGAAAGTTGACATAGACATTTGTTTTCCCCATCAATAGTTCATACACAAACCGTTCCCTGAGGTTGATTGCAGTCCTCCATGATGCAGCCATACTTTCCCCGTTTCCTCCCAGGGTTCTCTGTTTCTATTGACCCTTCCCTGTTCCTCTCTTAGGTTTGGGGCAAATGTTGCCCTTCTGGTCTTGAATGGTTGACCGTTCTGAGGAGCGTGTCCTTCACATTGCTTGTTTCCTAGGCTCGCTTATTACTTGGCTGAAAGGGGCCTCCTGAGCATCTTCAGTTTCCAAGTAGTAGGTTGTCTGGGAACACTGTTCTCTCTCAACTGCTCCTCTGGTCTCTTTCAGACCAATAAGTCAGGTTTTGTTTTTCAGTTTCATTTTCTCTTTTTTAATCCATAGATCCATTCACACTAGAACCTTCTATTGTGGTCTCGGTCAGAATGGCTGGTAATGGTAGGCAGGCACCTCTAGTTCTTCTGCTCTCAGACGGGGCTGTGGTCTATGTAGCCTTTAGTCCTTTAGACTGAGTCTTTGCTCTTGGTGCTCCTTCGCTGCGGGTGGGAGAAGTTGCTTCTTTGATGGCCTCTCACTAGCTATTAGACCCTGGCACGGCTCCTCAGACTAGAACGGAGGACCTTGTTGGCCTAGATGACTCCTGGGACCATGGTCTTCTGGGCACTTGGAGCTGGCTGGCTCACGCTTTGTCTCCCACTTGCCCCTTGTAGGAGATCCCTGTATTGACCCCAGACTGGTCCCACGTTTGCTCATCTTCATGGTAACCATATGTGGGATGTGGATTTATCCAAATTTTATTAATAAGAAAACAAACTCACAGAGGGCCGAAAGGTCTCGAGACCAAGGATTGGTCGAGCTGGGCTTCAAATCTAGTTCTGATTCCAAAGCTGGTCCCTTTTCCACCATTCTACCCCAGGCCCACTTCCTGACTGAAACGGCTGTGGCCTCAGTTTTGATCCGCTTGATTGGCCTTGAAATTGCAATGAAATAAGCCAGTCAGGGTTCTCTGCTGTACTCTACACAGGCCAACTGCAGCCCTGTGCCCCAGGCCCGGAGATGGGGTCGTAAGCACTTCCCTGGTCTCTACACAGTATTCCTGCACCCCTGTTCTTCCCCTGCCACACACACCCATACACACTGTATCCCAGATTGCTTCCTGCCCAGGGGGCACGGGCTTCCTCGGCTGACTTCTCTCCACAGAGTGAAGGTTCCTCGGGGGCAACGGAGAAAATGAGAAAGGGCTTGTCGGACTTCCTGGGCGTGATCTCAGACACCTTTGCCCCCTCACCAGACAAAACCATTGAATGTGACGTCATCACCCTGATGGGCACACCTTCTGGCACAGCTGAGCCCTACGATGGCAACAAGGTACTCACTGGGGCTTCCCCTGCAGATGCTTTACCCTCTTGCCTGTGCTCAAAAGCAGCAGTAGGTGTTCCGGTTCCAAATGCATGTGCAGAGGGCAGGCGTAAGAGTACCGCAGCGAGGGTTGCCATTCAGACATGCCTGGGGTACTCCAAACAACACGTGTGTCAACACGTCTCTGCAGACGAGTTCTCTGAGCAGTGTCCTTGTCTTAACCTCATTAGGGTGCTTCCCCCCCAAAAGAAACAGAGGCTCCCAAAGGCGCATGGAAAATCATCAACTTTCAATTCCATTTTTCCACGAACATTTTAAGGCCCTTTGTGTTATTTTATGTCTTGGAAAATAAGGATTTTGAAGTCAAGGTTTATATCATCTTTTTTTTTTTTTTAACAACAAAAACCCTCAAAACCATTGAAGGCTTGTAACCAGTTTATAGGAATGCTGCTCCATCTAAGAGTTTTTAGATGGATCAATTTTAACAAAGGTTGGGAAGACCTCAAAGGTGAAGTCAAGGCAGAGGGGTCGGTTCAGAGGTGATGGTGACTGTTTTGAGGGGATCCCAAGGGGTAATCTTGACAAATTTTCTAGACAGACGGCGAACAATTACGGGCAGGGGCCTCCTAGAAAATATTTTCAGGAAATTGCACCAATGTAAAAAGACCAGTAAACGTGTAATGAGGAGTGTTTTCCATCTCGCCAAGGCACTTACTCATTCTTCTTGAGGGTAGTGATGACTGGCCTACAAGGATTTTGTTAGGAAGCCCTAGCCCAGGGGTGTCAAACTGGTGGCCCCCAGGTAATTTTCTGTGGCCCGTGATGCTCTGAAATAAAATGAAAATAGAAAAAATTGTTATGAAGAAAATAGCGCTTAAGGGGAGATTGAAGCAATACCATATACACAATTCCCTCATGTAAACAGTCACCATCACCTCATTATTTCAGAGCACTATGGGCCACAAAAAACTACCTCGGGGGCTTCATGCAGCCCTCGGGCCACCATTTGACACACCCACCCTAGCCCATCCACCCCACAACCCTGCTTTTGTCTCTTCAGAATTCCTGTTCCCTCGAACTCAAAGAACATTTCAAAGGCACATGGTTCGAGTCCCTGCTGGACTGGTGTGGTGTAAACTGGGGTGCAAGGTTCACAGGGAAGGGTTAGAAAGAGGGAAGCCCTGCCTTCAGAAGGGACTTGAACCAGATGGGGGAGGTGTTGCAAAACAATAACATCATGTTTGGGTATTTTTGTTTAGTTTCTGTACTTTTTGATTTACCCATACGTACTATCTATACTCGAATATAAGCTGACCTGAATATCAGCCGTGGCACCTAATTTTACCACAAAAACTGCATTTAAATTGTGCTGAAAAGCTCGGCTTTTCAATTCAATTCAAGAATACTGAGAAACAAGGGGAAGGTGGTTCTTTCTGAACTCAGAGAACCGCTGACTTCTCCGGTGTAACCTTTCGTTTCCTTTTGTGAGCTGAAATACGGCAAAGACAAGATTTGAGTCTTTTTTCCCCAAGGTATTTTACATGTATAGTTTTGTAGCAATTTCTTTTAAAGAAGCTTTATTGCAAACAATTACCTTCTTTTTTTTTTAAGACGTCTTGGTCTGCAGCAACGACAGCAGCATTTTCCAGTCACGTCCGAGGGCTGCACCTTTGACTTCCTTGGCCTTTCCCCCCATTGTAGGGAAACTGGGGGGCGGGGGCATCTGGGATATGCACTCCACATTTGGGTTGTTTAAGACTAGTTTCCAGTAAAACCGGCAAGAACCGGCATGTACACACGTCAACACGCAGTCTGGTGCAGATCTGCTACATGGTTTTTCTGTTGGCTTGGAGACATTGATAGTTGGGCCTACCTTGTCTCCTTTTTCTCCCGTTGACTTTCCATTCCAACTGTATTGTTTCCAGACCGGCTTCTCAGCACTAGCAGTCGCACCAGTGCTTAGTGAACCCTGAGTGGGATTGTGTCCGATCCCAGTGACCGAGTTCTGAAGGGTCCCAGCAGTGAAGCATCAGCCAAAGCCCTTGCAGCTTGGGAGAGGCCGTAGGAGCTTTGTTGTCCAGCTGAAGTGCTGCCACCTTGTGGCACCAGTGGAAACACAGCTCACAGTTCACTTGGCCAGCTGAAGTTAAGACATTTCTGATGGCTTTAAATGGGGGGCATTGCATTATTTCAACCTTGGTCCATACAGCTGGACTTTATTAAGAGATTTTCACTCACACTTTCAAATTTCACAAGATGCAAGAGCATTCCCTAACTTGTGTTCCATTGCCTACTTACACTAATTCCCAAAGTTGGAACACTGGGTGAAGACCTGCGCCGTTAAGCCACAGTGTAAATTGACAGGTGCTCCGTGGGTGTGGCAACCAAATATTGACCTGCTTATGAGAGAAACTGGGTTGTCGTTGATTGGGTACCCTGGCAACGAGGGGTGCTTTCTGTGCCCACTGCCCCCGCATTTATGCTCTGCTTTCTCTCTCCTAGGCTCGCCTCTATAGCCTGCAATCAGACCCAGCAACCTACTGCAATGAACCAGATGGTGAGGGGGCGGGGGAGGGAGTGGGCATGCAGGCTGGTACACCCCAGGGGTCTGGTCTGCAGGCCCTGTGGTGCCGCAGGAAGCAGGGCCCACGGTAATGGGGTGGCCTCCTGCTCCCTGCACCTCCCTGAATCCTGGCATTGTTATCCCCTGCAGCAATGTCTTTCATCCTCTCCCCACTCATTCCATTCATCCAGCCTCCCTCCCAGCCCCGCTGTCTGCCTGCCTGCTTTCCCTTCAACCCCTCTTTGCTAAGCCCCATACTGGAAGCTAGACACAATACTTAGGTCAGAACTTCAAACCCTGTTCAGCTCTTAAGCTAGCTGGAAAAAGGGAAAGAGAACCAGTGGATAGGGCAGAGATTGTAGAGAGCAGAATGGACGCCGATGGAAGGGAGAACTCAGAGGAATGGCACCTGACCAGTCGAAGGCCACCAGGAACTCCCATTCAGCTAGATAGCAGTATGGGGGAGGGACATCAGAGCCCAGGAGCCTTGTCCCTGCAGGCTCAGAAAGAACTAGGAACACTGTTGTGAGACTGGAGGAGGGCATAAGAGAGGCCCAAGGGATGGACTTTGAGGGACTCAGCTTGTCACATTAAGCCCTTTGGATGTTGGCACCGCAGGCTCCAGGTAGTGCTTCTTAACCTTGTTTGAGTCAAGGTCTGAAAAATCTGTTGAACATGCCAAGCTCCTTCTAGAATGCTGTCCACACCATTCTGTATGCAATATTGGAATGCTTACGGAGCCCTGGTGGCAGAGTGGGTTAGGAGTTGGACTGCCAAGCACAATGTCAGAAGTTCAAAGTCACCAGCTGCTCCTCTGGAGAAAGATGAGATTTATACTCCCCTAAAGAATTACAGCCTCGGAAATCCACAGGGACATTTCTATTCTGTTCTCCGGGGTCAATGTGAGTCAGATGGACTTGATAGTAGTGAGTTTGGTGTTGCAATTCTTTGATGCTTTGAAGTGTATCTGTAGAATCTAATTTTTAAAAAGCCCTCCCAGAGCGCAGCATTGAAAGGTTTGGAGGCCCGAGGTAATGAGAGGGCATTTGATGAAGAGCCCTTGGACAGTATTTGTGTTGAGTCCATAGGGAAGAGGAGATAGGAGACCTGTCTAAGCAGAGGCTGTGCTGTGGCAGGACTCGCTCGTCGGAGGGAAGGCTTAGGAAACGAGGAAACTGGGTGAGCCTGTCAGGAGGAGACACCGAGGGCTGGCATCCACTCTGAGATGATGGAATCCACGGAGCCGGGCGAGAAGGAAGAAAGTGAGCTCACAGTGGGTCTTGTAGCACCTCTGCAGGTGGAGGTGACCAGGGGACACGTCCTCCCTGGATCTGAAGCCCAAAAGAATGGAGTGCAGAGAGAGATGAGGGGTTGTCGGGGTTGCCAGGAGGAAAAGAGGGTGAAGCTCATGGCTGAGTGGTAGCTACCTTGGGAGAAAATAGGAAGGGACTTCAAAGAGACCATGGGAAAATGGGATGAAAAGGTCGTCATTTTCCCACTAACTTTGGAAGCCCCCTCAGAGAAAGAAGAGATAAAGGGAAACGAGGAGCCCGTGGAGACTCGGAAAGCACCCACAGAAGCAAGAGGAAAACCATTAGAGGGAGGAGCCAGCGGGGAGGGGGCTTCAAGAGGAAGGCAGTGGCCCTCCTGCTGGGAACCTGCAGTAAGGACACATGAGGAGAGACAGGAGGGTCGCTGGTGACTGAGAGGGCAGTTTCAGAGGTGGGGCTTCAGGAGCCAAGTGCAGGTGGCTAAGGAGCAGGGGCATGAGAAAGTGCAGGCTTCAGACCCCCTGGATATCACTGAGGTGCCCCACCCCATCTCTGTGAGGCCCAGTCAGCCAGCTGGCTTTGGGAAACCCTTCCCTCGTTCGTCCTGCCCCAGGTTGGGGTTGGTTCTGTTAAGCCCAGTGTTCTTTCCCCAGCCCCAGGGCATTGACCAGTGTGTGTCCCTCTGCAGGGCCTCCGGAACTGTTTGACGCCTGGCTTTCCCAGTTCTGCCTGGAGGAGAAGAAGGGACAGATCTCAGAGCTCCTTGTAGACAGCCCCTCCATCAGGGCCTTCTACACCAAGATGGTGAGGGCCCCGCCAAGAGATCCTCGGCCAGCTCCAGGCAGGCGGGAGGGACACGTGCAGAATCAGTGTGGGGTTGTCTGACCCCTGAGCAAGTCAGAAGACGGTGAGGCATGGAAGGGTAGCCCATCAGATGGGAGCCCGTTTCCCCTCCTTGGGCCAGGGGAACCAGGAAGGTGGTCTTGTGGGAGGAGCACTGCCCTCTGAGAGCATCTGGGAGCTGGCCCCACCCCACCACTCCCACAGTCTCATTCCCACTCTCCACCCACCAGGTCCCCGCAGCTGTTACCCATTCTGAATTCTGGCATCGATACTTCTATAAAGTCCATCAACTAGAGCAGGTATGCTGGCCTCGCCTGGGAGGGGCTCCACTCAGCACTGGGGGGAACTGGCTAGATTTTGCTAGGGGAGGAAGGGGGCACAGGGTGCCCAAGAGCTCTGGTGTCTGGACCAGGGTCTGACGCAACTGGCTTTTTGCTCCCCACACTCAGGAGCAGGCCCGGAGGGACGCCCTGAAGCAGCGGGCAGAGCAGAGCCTCTCAGAAGAACCTGGCTGGGAAGAGGAAGAAGGTAAGCAGTATGGAGAGGTGAAGGGCCGTGAGGAACTGGCAGGCCAGCCTCGGCAACCTGCAGAGACTTGGGGCTCCAGAGAAGAGCAGGGAGTGAGTAGGTTTTGGTTTGCTGAGAACAGGCTGAGCTAACCAGAGAGATGTTTATCAGCTGGTGGAGTTCCAGGTTTAGGTACAGAAATCCCATGTCATTAGAACAAAGTCCGCTGCCAGCCCACGGACTCGTTGGCTACTTCCTGATCATTTGAGAATTGGATTCACAATCCAGACTCCCTTCCTCACCTGGAGCGGGAACCTGGTGCACCTTAGGCAAGGATTCCTCCTTCCGCGCCCCCTCCTGCCCTTGGTAACCTCTAATAACCGTCTACATTTGTCGTTCGAGATCTGTCATAGAAGTAGAACATTTGTCCTTTTGTGTCTGACTGATTCCACTCCATGGGACATTAGTGAGGCTCGGCCATCCCGCAGCATGTGTCAGGACGTGGTTTCTCTCTCTGCCCAAGTCACAGCCTGTTATAGGTGTGATACAAAATCTCCTGGGTGGCGATGAGTGCTATACTGAACACCCGTGTTCAGAGACGTGTCCCTGCTCTTGGGGCTTTGGCAAATTGGCATTGCTGGATCATCTGATAATTGATGTCTTGCTTTAGAAGCACCTTCCACCTGTTTCCACACTAGCCCTTTGCAACTCCACAAACAGTAGCTCAAGGGTCCGGTTCCCCCCCAACCCCACCACCACTGGTTTTCCCATTCTCAGATCGGAGTCAGCCTGGGCATAGATGGGGTGAGGTGGGAAGGCACTGTGGCATCGACTAACCACCTTGAGCATCTTTTCAGGAGCTTATTGCCATTCTGTCCTCGTGAGTGAAATTTCTCTTCCAACCCTCTGCTCAATTTTTTAAAAATTATTTTATTGGAGGCTCGTACAATTCTCATACAATCCATACATACATCCATTGTGTCAAGCACATATGCACCTTTGTTGCCCCATCATTCGCAAAACATTTGCCTCCCACTCTAGCCCCTAATATCAGTTGCTCATTTCCCCCTCCCTCCCCACTCCTCCCTCCCTCATGAACCCTTCATGGATCATAAATTATTGTAGTTTTGTCATTCTGCTTAATTTTTAAACGCGGTGTTTGTCCTTTTTAGTTGTTACATTGTAGCCATCAAAATTTAGTTTTTAATACGCTCCCCTGTAATGTTGGTGCTCAGCCAGGTTTGGGAGCCACTGGCTTATGGAGGTTTGCTGAGCATTCTCTGCCAGGTAGCTCAGCTTAGAGATGTGTGTGGGCACTGGCCACGTGCATGCTACAGCATCAACACATGTACTACATGCTTACGTCTATGCCCAGTCTGTACCCAGGGCACAGCCCTCCCCGCGACTCCCATCATTCCTCTTTCACGACAAAGGCAGGTAAGTTCAACAACAGTGAAGTGACTTGCCCAAGGTCACACACCTGGGATATGGTAGAGTTCAACCAAAACCAAAAATAAACTCACCTTCTAGCCTTAGCTCTCTGATCTGACACTCGGCTTGGGCTGCAGTGCTGGAAGCCGCATGCCCACCAGACATTGCCAGGCCCAGCCCCCACGTTGGAGGGACGGAGCAATCAGAGTGTCTGCAGAAGAAGAGCCAAGATAGTAAGGGAAGAGGGTGGGTGGTAAGACGGGGCTCGTGAATCTGGAGCAGAGTGAACTTGGGCGGAATCTGAGGAGGTCTGTCTGCTGAGCACACCATGGATCAATGTCTCAGGGCTCCTCCCCTCCTTTCCTCTCCCTACAGAGGAGCTGGCCGGCTTTTCACTCCCATCTCCCACAGAGGCAAAGGTCCCTGTGACCAAAGCTTCCACTTCACCTGAAGGGAGAGCTGGACCCCAGGGCCCCTGTGAAGAGAACCCGGTAACCTCGATTGAGACGCCAGCAGAGGTGACACCATCAGAAAGCAGCGACAGCATCTCTGTGGTGACACAGATTGCCGCCCCTGCCCCGGAGGCCTCCGGGCTGCCCAGAGACCTGTCCCAAAAGCTGCTAGAAGCATCTCTGGAGGAACAGAACCCGGCTGTGGATGCGGGCGAGACTGGCCCTCCACCCCCAGCTCCCGCCAAACCTCTAGCCCCTGCTGGCCGCCCCAGTGGCCCAGAACCCAGACCTCCAGCCAGAGTAGAGACTCTGAGAGAGGAGGTGCCCACAGACTTACGAGTGTTTGAGCTGAACTCAGACAGTGGGAAGTCCACCCCTTCCAACAATGGAAAGAAAGGTATGTCTGTAGGCCAGAGCCCAGGGGGCTTGTGTGGGAGCAGGGCAAGTATGAACTGTCACCCCTCAAAACACACTTGTCTCCTGACCCTTGTTAGGAGCCTAGCAACAGAATTCCTTCACGTGTGAGTCTCTCAATGAGGTCGTGCCATGTGTTAAACGTCTTCCTCCTCCTCAGTTGCGCCTACTGTGAAATCGAGGATGCATCTTACAGTAGATGGGATCTTAGAATCCGTGAAAAATGCTTTCTGCCAATTGTATTATATTGCATAGGCCGTAATTCCTATCCTCGTTTTTCAGTGGAAGAAAATGAGACTCGGAAATGTTCCCGCCACTTACTCAAATCCCGCCAGCCAGCAAGTGGCAAGCCCCTGTTTAGACCCTGGGCTCTCAGGTCAAGGCCCCGGGTGCCCACACGGTGCCACTTTTGATCTTTGGGGGTACCTCCCCCTTAGCCCGGTGTCAGTGATGTCAAGGGCCGGCTCCCCAGGGTAAGTAGCCATCAGCAAGCCAGTCAGCCCTGAGCCATCACCCATGACTCAGGTCTGCCAGGGAGCGCCCTGTGACTCAGCTTAACTATCAGCATGTGAATTTCTGATCACGAGCAGGGGGATTTTAGAGCAGGGTCCCTTTGGCTTTACGGCACAAAGGAGCCCCTGAACCCCTGGCATCCTTCAGTTGCTCTGATGGGGGGCTTTTGCTCAGGTACCCAATAGATCTTGCAGTGGGCACTGTCATCCAGACAGCCCCTTACCCTCCTCTCTTTGCCTGTCCCAGCCCCAGAGCTTGCCCAGCAGGGAAGCCCCCGTACCCCAGTGAGAACGGCTGGGTTCCCAGTTTCTAATCCGGGGCAGGCCTTCTGCCTCAGTGAGGTCATCTGTTGGGCTCCTACCTTCTCTTTATGAGACACTGAGGGGGGAGGGGCATAGGCTTAGTCTTTGTGATGAAGCAGGAAGCGAAGGGGCTGGCTTGGTGCTGGAGAGGTTCAGAGAAAGAAGGAACCTGGGGCCCTGGGGGGCGTTTCGCCGAGGAGCCAGGTGCTATGTCAGAGAGCTGGAGTATGGGGCAGGTGGGCTGCCAGGCCCGGACAAGAGGGCCTGGGGCACATTGAAGAAGGGGGAGGGGTGACCCAAGCACACTTCCCAGTACTTCCTCCCATGTAGGGTGGGCGAGGGGCTGGCTCAGACGTAAGATTGAACTAAGACCCAAGATCTAGTGCTAGGGTCGGGAGGTTGGACTCGAGGCGGGCCACAGGCTCAGGTGACACCCTGCATGCTCACAGGCCGAGGTCTTCCAGCAAGGGCTCGTCTTCTTTTGCTCCCCAGACATTGGAGGGGGCTGCTCCTCTCATTGCTCGGGCAGAAGGTACACTTGGTTAGCACTCTGCTTTGGGAGAGAGTAGTCTCCAGCTGGGTGTGTGGCTCGGCTGCCCACTTTGGGTGCCTGGCACGCCTCACAAAAGCCCCGTGAGGTAGGTGTTCTGTGCACCATTCCTCACTGATTGGACCCTGAGGTTGGTTACCCACCCAGTAAATCCTGAGGGAAGTAGAAGGTCGTCCTTTAGAAGGGTGGGGACGTAGGGTTGCGGGTGGCCTGTATCCAAGACCCACTGGGGTGATAGTGATGGATTCGAAGGGATTCTGGTCGCCAGTTGTGAGTCTGTCCAGCCACAGCCGGATGCTTGGATGCAGGCCCAGAGCAGGTGGGGCATTGGTTTAACCTGCAAGTAAGGTGCCGGGTGAGCCTAGCGGAGCAAGAGCGAGCCGAAGCATATGGCAGAAGTGACCGGAGGACCAGAGGAGCTGGGCAAGGAGGGAGTAGGGGAAGAAGGAAAGAATTCAGTTCCATGTGGAATTGGGCTACTGGGGTGGAGGTTGGAAACTGGGTGCCTGGCATGGAGGTGGAGGAGGGGCAGTGTATCCTGCCTGCTCATCTCTCCTGCTGCTCTGATGCACTCGGGTGTGTAAAAGGCGGGCTGAGGACTCCATGTCGAGCCCCCACAGAAGCAATGATGTCAAGTAGGGGGTCTTGCTAGGAGCATCATGGGAACAGAGTAAATGAATTTAAGATAAAAATGAAAAAGCAGAATGGAGCTTGGAGCCAGAATGGTTCCTTCCACCTAAGCTCACACGCTAGAAAGCTGTGAAGCTGCCATTCCAGAGTCTCATGTGCGGGCCAAGCCCCTGCACCCCTGGGTCCCGGGGCAGTCCCTGTCACTGCAGAGCCTCTGCCAACACCCACATAGGCCCAAGTGCCCCCTGATCCACCCCTCTTGATGAGGACAAGGGGCTGGTGAGGGGTTACATGGGGCAGGGGGTTGGTGCTGGCCTGTGAATTGGAAGGAGCTGTCCTGGGTTTAAGCCCCCACCTCACTCCCTCAAAAGAGCCCTGGTCTTGCTGTGGGGTAAGCAGTGAACTGGTAACCCCAAGGTTAGGAGTTTGAACCCAGCAGCCACTCTGAGGCATGAGGCTTTCTTCCCCCTTAAAGATTTACAGTCTCAAAGCCCCTGTGGAGGCTTACTGTGAGTCAGAATTGACACACAGAATTGCACAGGAAGAAATGGGCTGTGTGTGTGTGACAACCCTGCAAGGTTAGCAACCACCTGGGAACACCCCTCTCTAAAAATAGTCCACCTCCATCCGCGCAGACCAGGCCTCTGCCGCCTGGTAAGTGTCTCCTCCCCCTGGAAGAGTTGCCCTAACGCTGATGCCTGAAGAGGGAATTTCACATCCCTGAAGGGCAGCCTGAGGGAGAGGGTGGAAGGGGAGCCACAACCACAGTCAGAGCGCCATCCTGAGCCAGATGAGGAGGGACACCCAAGTGAGTGAGAGCGGGGAACTCAGACCTAGAAAGAAGTCAGCACCATCCATTGTGTCGAGCACATTTGTACATTGTTCGAGAGCCACTGTCGATAGACGTGTGGCTCTCCAGTCACAGGCCGGGCTCTGAGTTGGGCTGCTAGCCATAAGGTGAGTAGTTCAAAACTACAAGCCCCTCGTTCTGCCTTAAAAAGATGAGGCTTTCTCCTCCCATGAAGAGTCACAGCCTCAGAAACCCAAAGAACCAGTTCTCTGCCCTACAAGGTCTCTGAGTTGGAATCCACTTGGGGCAGTGAGTTGGCGATTTGCTATATATGTCGATATGTAAGGGCCCTTGGTGGTGCCATGGGCTAAGCATCAAGCTACTAACCTTGAGGTTGGTGGTTTAAGACTACTAGCCTTTCAAAAGGAGAAAGATGAGGCTGTCTGCTGCCATAGAAATTTATCATCTCAGAAGCCCTGGGAACAGTTCCCTTCTGTCCTACAAGGATGCCATGAATTGTAATCAACTTGGTGGTTGTGGGTGGTGCCAACAGTTAACCTGCCGATCTACTAACCAAGAGGTCAAAGGTTTGAATCCACCCATAGGTGCTTCTGAACTAACAAGAATCATTAAAAAATAAACGCATCTTTAAACAGAGTGCTTCCACGGTCCCCCATGGGATGGCTCCCAACGGGGCACCCAGGCTCTGAGCCCATGCTGCTTCTCTGGATTTCTCTTTCCCCCCGCGTGGTGAGCGCTTGAGTGGGCGCAGGGGCCAGCTGATCTGAACTGAACCCTAACTCCTTGATCAAGTGTGTGGTCTTGGACTAGTACCCCGGTCCACTTATTAAGTAAGACTAAAACCACCCTGTTTGCAACCAGTCACCAAGAAGGTGAGAAGTCAATTTCATATGCACACGCACATACTGCTTTTGGAAAATCCACCCAGAAAACCCCTCCAGAGCCTCTTCTGCACAGACCCTCATGGGCTCGCCGGGAGTCATGGTCCACTCACTGGCATCTGGGTTGGGATTTTTTTTTCCCCTTTAGCTTTTTCTTTTTTCAATTATTTATTTATTTATTTAATCATTTTATTGGGGACTTGTACAACTCTTAACACAATCCATATATCCATCCATTGTGTCGAGCACATTTGTACATTTGTTGCCCTCGTCATTCTCAAAACATTTGCTTTCTGCTTGAGCCCTTGGTATCAGCTCCTCATTTTTTCCCCTCCCTTCCTTCTCCCCCCTCCCGCATGAACCCTTGATAATTTATAAATTATTATTATTTTGTCATATCTTACACTGTCCTACGTCTCCCTTCACCCACTTTTCTGTTGTCCATCCCCCTGGGTTGGGAATTTTTTTTTAATTAAAAGAACATATTTTTAAACAAAAACCTGTAAATAGATCAAGGTCTGATTTTTGATCTCTAGGTGTGTCCTTCAGTCAGGATCGATGGAGTACCATACCCTGGCCCCAGAGTCTGTCCTTGTACTCCCTCGGGGGCTCCCTGCTCTGCTCCCGCAGTTGCTCTGCCGCACGCTTTTAATGGTTTGCCTCGGTGTCTCTGGGTCAGTCCCGACACTGAGTCTCCAGTGTTGTCCCCCTTAGGGTCCTGGGCCATCCAGGGACGGTGTGTCTCATAGTGGGATCAGCCATATGGTCTACTCTGTGCATTGGCTGTTCAGAGCGGGCATATCGTCCTCCAGGCCTGGTGGGCCAGGATGTGCTCCACTCTCTCTTCCTCCCCCTTCATTTGCTCTGATCAGACATGCCCCTCTCCCCTAGCTGCAGCTTCAGTGCTGTCCTCTAAAGTAAATTCTAGGGAGAGGGATTTTTTATAGATCGACGATGGCTTTCCAATCATACCTCCAGTCCTTACTGCTGTTTCTCAGGGCAATCACCTGGTTCCTGTGTATAATGCAGAAGCCTAGGCTGTACCTTGGGCTGGGGTGTGTGGAGAAATCTGCATCTGAATCTTCCTGGTGACTCGGTGCACACAGGGGTCTGAGTCTGACTTTGTAATTAGACTGATGCCCAGTATATTTATTGGCCCAAGACCACACAATAGATCTCACGGAATCAGGATTCCACCCAGGTCAGCTGTCTTCTGAGCCCACCCTGGCTGGTCAGGCTGAGGAGAGAGAGAGAAGGCGTTTGGTGGGGCTTAGTTCTCCAGAGACTGGGTACTTGTGAGGAGTCATCCCATTGGGGGACCCAGGAGCTCCCTCTGTTTAAAGAGGCCTCCTTTTTCCCTTTCTTTACCTCTCTCGTTGGTTGCCTCTGGTAGAGTCACTGCTCCGCTCTGTTGTTGAAGCAGAAAGCAGCCGTAGGTGATCTGTGAAGTCGGCTGTCTTCCAGAAACATGAAATCAGGCGCTGGGCGGGTTTGGCCCACTGGTCATTGAGAGGCAGCGCCGGGTGTGGAGAAAGGGTCTGTGAATGCTTTTACCGTGAGTCAGCTGTGGGCTCTAGGGGCTGAGAATATGTTTCCTTCCAGTGTAGAGCTTGCTCGTGAAAGAAACCTCAATTTGGCCCGTTATAGGTTAGGATATGATTGACACAAGGTGAGAAAGAACAGCTAGAACAGAGTAAAGGGAATTGAGGGCACCCCCAAAAACAACAAACCAAAACTCACTGACATCAAGCCAGTCCTGACCTATTATGGCCCAGATAACCTCGACGGTCTTCCTCCAAGCACTAGTGGTTTTGAACCGCCAACCTTCCGACTAGCAGTCCAGCCTACACTTCCCCATCAGCGCCCAAGGACTCCTGGAGAGTGAGGGGAGTGGTTTGCAATTTAAAATGGGTTGGTTGGGGTAGATGATGAGGTTGGATCTCAGGTCAGACAGAGGCCTGAAGGTGGGCAGGGATCGCCTGGAGTGGTGAAAGAGTGGCAGGTTTCTGGTGGGGAGAAGGTAAGCGAGGGAGACGGAAGGAGGCTCATTGTGGATTTCTTCTGGGAGGGTGCTGTGGCTCCCAGGAAGTCTCTGGCCTGTGCTGCTCTGTTATATATTAACCTGTTCAGTTCTTGAGTGGCTGCATAAATGTGTTTAACCCTAAGAACTGCTGTGAGGCTGGCACGGAACCCAGCAGCATTTCCTTCTGTCGTACACAGTCGCTATGAGTCAAAGGCGGCTAGATGGCGCCTCACATTGAGTTCTTATTGAGCAGTGTAAGACGTTTGCCATGTCTGTAAATGCTCTAGAACCCAGCTTCTTAAAGCCCCATATTGAAAAGAAAACCAAGCCAAACTGCATCAGGTCCTGGCCTGTCGTGGGACTACACACTTGTTTGTGTTTGTTCTCCCCTCAAGCCCCCCTGGCTTTCAGCAAGTTGTTTCTTTGTTTCAGAATTCCCTATTACTAGACTTGGGGCAGTTTTTACATTTTCATCACCATCAGGACATGACAGTGAACATCCTTCTAGCTAAAGCTTTGCGTACAGGATTTCTTCCTTAGAATAGAGTTCTAAAAATGAAGCCCCCGCAAGCCACATGCCTAAAAGCAGACTTGAGGAGAAGACTGGTGTGTGCGTCAGGCTCTCTCAGAGCGCCTCCCCCTCCTCTGCCGGTTCCCCTCCCCGCCCCTCCCCTCATGCTGTGAATTGTGCTTCCAGGCTCCAGCACAGACATCAGTGAGGACTGGGAGAAGGAATTTGACTTGGACATGACCGAAGAAGAAGTGCAGATGGCACTTTCCAAAGTGGAGGCTTCTGGTGAGGTGAGTGAGCCTGGTCAGCTACAGGGAAGCCAGCCCAGTGGTCCCAGTGTCCAAGAGCCCTCCCCACCAGCCTGAGTGTCCCCTCAGGGAGGAACCTGGGTCTCTCACTGGGACCCAGAACAGTTGTCAGCAGGCCCTGCCTCCCCTCAGCTGCAGGGTGGATGGGTGGGAGAGGAGTGAACTCTTGGCATTTAAATCACCTGAGGAACTGCTCAGGGATACAGGTCTCCAAACCTGCCCAAGCAGACTCCTGGCCTTAGAAACAAAAAACCAGTTTGATCTAGTATACAACACTTAGCCTAAGCCTTTGCATCATCGAAAATAGGTGATTGATAATCATAAGACCTGCATTGAAGTAATGATTAGAGACATGCTGGGCCTGGCGCCTGCATCCTGGTAAACATCCGTGGGTATTGGCAGAAAACACCACAAAAGCCATTTCTGGTCTTATTTTTCATTACCCGCCAGAATCAAGACCGGGTCGTTTTGAATGAGACTGGGACAGTCTAAAGCTCACACAACTTGTAAGCGACAAGGACTGAGGGGCCAGCCCAGAAGTCTGATTCAATCCATGGTCATACAAGCACCAAGTGATTTCTAAAGGGGGGGGACAAAACAGAGCCCCTGGGAGGGGCTCCATTTTCGAGTTGAGAAGCCTAGTGTGAGGTAGTGGCCTCCCCAAGAGTATTGTGTACCTGTGACCTCAACAATTCCCAGGGCAGCAAAGGCCTGTAGGGCCCCTTCAAGCCATGGGGTCTGGCTGAGATGTGCCTTGAAGCCCTTTGTAGAACCCGGAGAGAGACATCTAGAACACAGCGTACTAGGGGTCGCCTGCCAGCAGTCCAAGAGGGAAAAGGGATCGAGAGAAATGTCGCTGGGGATAAGGATGCTGAGGGCGGAGGACTGAAGGCCCTGTGAACCTGGATCCAGCCTTGCTTCTGCTCACAGTGACACCCAGGGCCCTGCCGCGAACCACCCAGCAGGAGACGCGTCTCCTGAAAAGCTGGGCTGGCTTGCTTCTCCTGGTTTGCCACAGTGGTGTTGGCGGCCTGTCCCGTTGGGTCTGAAAGGGTCAGACTGGTGGTTCCGGGCTGGTGGAAATGGAGGCAGCTCCACTCAGCAAGGGGCGATGGGTTTGCGTCTGACTCAAAAAACTGAATCTGTCTGTGCTCCCCGTTATCCCCTCCCCTTTGCAGCTGGAAGATGTGGAGTGGGAGGACTGGGAATGAGAGGCGCCAGCACCAGCCGCTCCCTTACCCACAGCGCCTCTCACCTCCTTTGCTCGCCTCAGCCTGGCCCTGGAAGACACTGACTGTGAATGTCCCCCAAATGGCCTCTGACCCCCAGAGCTCTGGATTGCTCCCTGTGGGCTCCTTGTCACCTAGCAGGGACCTCTTTACAACTGGGAAGGGGCTGTCTACATCCAAGTCAAGAACCCTGACTTGTGCCAATCATAGGATGACCCAGCAGGGTGAAGACCTGCCCCTCTCACCAGAAGAGCCTCCATTTCTCTGCTGAACACCTACTGTTGTTAGAAACTCCTGTGGGGAAGTCCCACTAAACAGCTTCCGCCCAGGTCGATGGACACTAACTGACCAGTCCCCTGGAGTCACTGGTCATCTGTGAGCAGGCAAGGAAGGCCACATCACCAGCCGGGGCTAGTAAAAAAGAGAGAGTGCGTGCACCTTTGTGTTCCCCTCCCAGTAAGTAAGAGGGAAACGTCGTTCTGGGGGATCACTTCTCCGTCCAGGCCTGCCCACGCCTGGAAAAGTTCCTTGTGGATCAGAATCAGAATCGGAAGACCAAACCCTGACTTCCCACCTCCTGCCTGCCCTCCAGCTCGAGCCTGGGATAACCCTCGGCCTCGCACAGGGCTGTTCTGTGTCAGATGCACCCAAGTCCTTAGCCCAGTTGTGCCACCCGCAAGCAGCGCTCCTTGCAGTCCCTCCCCTCCCCAAGAAGGGAGGGGCCACTTGAGGCCCTGTTGTGCATTGCCTGGTGGGATTTCGTGTCCAGCCAGCTTGCTACCCACCTCAACTTCCAGTAGCTTAGGACATAGCCAGGTACCAGTGGTACAGAGCAGTGGGCAAAGCCGAGCCCTGACAAATCCAGGAGCCTAGCACTTCAACCTCCTGAAGGGGGCGCAGAGGGGGCAGGGCTTCTGTAGACTGCAGGTGTCTGCAAAAGCTCCCCTCCTGGAGGGCAGACCCAGTGTGCAACTGCCCCCCTCCACCTGGGATCATGCCCCTGGGGGGTGGGGGGCTGCGACGACGGCCTGCAGGATCCTGGAGACAGCCCCTGGTGCTTCAAGATGCTGCTCTGGGGGGTCGTGTACATAACCTGGTATGGTCGCCCATAATTTAGCGGGTTCATGGTCAGGGACACCTCTTAGGCTGGCACATCCACGTCTAACCTTGGGGGAGGGGGAGGGGGGGGGAGAAATGCAGAATCTTTTTTTTTTTGACTGGGTGGGGTTTTTCTCTTTGTAATGATTTCTTTAGTTAATTAACCTTTTGGTTGTTTGTGCAATATTATATATTTTAAATTATAATGCATCTCCCCGGAGTATTTTGTAGCCAAGAAAAGAAAAGGGTGGGGGGATAGTCTAACCGCTATTAGTTTTGTAACTCAAAAAGAACCTCCTGGCCTTTCACGGAGCACTAAGGAGCATTCTCAGCCGGCAGCAGGGGGGGGCGGTGTCTGTTCTCACCCCCAGGGCAGGGCCCTGGAGCCAGGAGCCAGGGCAGGACGTGTGCAGGGGGTAGTAGGGGCAGCCTGGTCCTGCGGGAGTGCTTGGTCAGAATCCCAGCCCGGGCTCCACTGGGGCTTTGGGATGAGGAGAGGCCCTGCCAAGACAAGGAGTCAAGAGGCAGTTTCTGCATTCCCAACGCTTCTGCATTTATTCGGAAAGGAAGGTGCAACCATGTGGTTCCAATGTGCTGCTCCTCCTCTCTGCCCCTGTGTGCTCACAAGCAATTCTGGGTCTATTGTCATGGACTTGCAACACCTGTATGGAAATCCCTTGACAGCCGTGATAAGAGGGGCACCTGAGTTGGGCCCTTTGGTTCCGTAAAGATCTTTAAAGGGACAGAGAAATAAAGCCAGGCCAGGGGCTAGGTAGGTTTTAAGCTAAGTAAACTAAAAAGTGTAAAACATATATCACCATCTTAGAAGCGGATTTTTGAGTTTGCTTTCTCCCCCTGCTTTATTGGGGAGGACTTGCCATTGCATTTATCAAGTGTTTGCTAGCCACGGATGCCAACTAATTTCTTCAATCGAAGGCCGGAGAGTCATGTCGGGTTCCAGGAGTCGCTTGAGCAGGTCCTGGCAATCGGCCGAGATGCCCAGATGAGTAGGGAAGGACACCCCCTTCTGCTGCTGCCACAGCATCTTGGGGATGTCTGTGTCATCAAAAGGTAGGCTGGCACAGAGCATGACATACAGGACGACGCCCATGCTCCAGACGTCACCCTTCTTACTGTCGTGAGGGACCCCCTGCAGCACCTCAGGGGCGGCGTAGGCTGTGCTGCCACAGAAGGTCTGGCTCAACTCCCGGCGGGACTTAGGCAGCACCTTGGCAAAGCCAAAATCGGTCAGCTTCAGGTTGAAGCCCTGCAGCAAGGCATTCTCACACTTGAGGTCCCGGTGGGCCACACCACAGTCATGGCAATAGCGAATGGCCTCAACCATCTGACGGAAGAGGGCTTTGGCCCGGCTCTCAGGCAACGGCCCCCCGTTCAGCACGCAGTCAAAGACATCCCCTCCCTCAGCCAGCTCCATCACCAGGTAGATTTTCCCGTCGGCAGACTCCAGCATCTCATACACCCGGATGATGTTCTTGTGGTCCAGGGTGCGGACAATCTGGAGCTCTCGAGGCAGGAATCTCTGGATAAATTCTGAGGAAATAAGGATAGTGGGTTGTAAATCCAGAAGAGCTAAGTCTCTGCTTCCCCCTGTCTGGGCCTTGTTCCTTCTCTCCCTGTGTGTCTAGCATCATGCACTCGGTGAAGTTCTGTTGGAACTGCATGCCCACCGAGGACTGGGATGGGCAGACCGTTACATCCCCGTGCCAGTGTGCCCCAGGAACTTTTAGATCACGATGGAGCCTGATGAGCCCTCTCCAGTGATCCAGCCCCTCCCCTGCTGCCTCCTGAGCCCCAGTTCCTTACCAAGCCCTGCCTGCCTTGCCACCACACCTGCTCCTGCCCTCTGTGAGCCCTGCCTGTAGCCCTCTTCTGAGATAGGAAAAGCATGATGGGACTCAGGCTCTACCTCTGAAGACCCTTCACCTCCTGCCACGTGTATCTTGGGCTCTGGAGTGTGTCCAGTGCTCGGAAGACTCCTAGCAGCATGCTGTTCCCCGCCACTCTACCCCAGAACAACCCTGGCGAAGGAGGGTCCACCCACAGCCACCAGCCCCCCCATCCAACAAAGGGGCCCCAGCTCACCTTCTGGCCCTCCCATCTTGTCTATAATTTTAATTGCCACTTTACTTTGGTGTTTTTTGGAAAATGCTTCTTTGACTTTTGAGTAGGTCCCTTCCCCAATGGTCTTGCCCAGCTGGTACCCATTGGAGAGCAGAAAGTCCTCCATGCTGTCCAGCGCCTCCGTCCTATCACCCTCTCAGCGCATGCTGCCTCCGGGAGGCAGCACTACTCCACCATCGCCCTCGGCCCGCTCCTTTTTCCCCCAAGGACTTCATCCGCTGCAGCCGCCTCCAGCGCTAGAGCATTATCTGACTGGACAGCCCCGGGTGGTGGGGAGGGAGAGGGATGGACATTTTTTAACCAGCCCAATTGTGATGTAAGTGCTGTGTGACCCTTAGCCAAAATAGGCAGTGCCCCTAACCTGCCCATACCATCTCCGCCAGACGCATCACAGGCAAAGCCAAGGCCGCCCCGCTGCCGGGCGGTGAATCAAAGCCCCACCGGTGGGGGGCGGTGATGGGGAGACCGGTGGTGTGTGTGCATGCGGCCCAGCCTGTCTGGTCCACATGGACGCCGCCTCCACAGGGCGGGTCGCCCTGGCCATCTCCTGCTCCATCGAGCCCGGCGCCCTTCAGCTGCCCGCAGCGAATGCGGGCCGGCGGGGGTTCCCTGGCGGGAGGAACGGGCTCTGTGAGGTCAGCGGGCCGCGGCCCGGGTCACAATGCAGCCTTCGCCCTCGACGCCCGGCTCCGGCCTCGGCGCAGACACCTGCCCGGCTCCGTCTGGACCGGAGCGTCCTCCCGCCGCTAGGGCTCGGGCAGCTGCTTCCAACCTGGGACCGGCCTCCGCCTCCGCCTCCGCCTCCGGCAGGTGAGCCACGGCCCCCGGGGCGGGCGCGGGGAGGGGGGCGCGGCGGCCCCGCCCGGCCTGACGGCCACTTCCGGCGCAGAGCGCCGTGGGGCCCGGACATGAGCGCCCAGGAGCCCCCACAAGGTCGGAGATTCCCCATTGAAGCTGGAGACTCCCCAGGCCTGGCCGCCGCCCCCGAGCCCCAGGAGAGCCCCGAGCCGGTAGCCACGGAGCACAGCCCTGTCAGGTGAGCCCCGTCCCCGCTGCCCTACTCGGCCCGGCCCGCACAGCCACACCTGAACCCGGGAGCCCAGGTGCGCTCCCCACGGCTCAGTGGCCCTCTGGTGCCCCGCCCCTCCTAGGCCGCTTCGACGCTGCCCAGGTTGCCACTGCCTGACGTTGCTGCACGTGCCCATCGACGTCTACCTGGCCATGGGCGGGAGTCCCCGGGCCCGCGCCACCTGAGTGCGCTGAGCACAGAGGCTCTGCAGGAGTGGGGGACGCGGCCCGCCGCGGGCCACTACGCTGAGGTCGCGCGCGCCGAGCACGAGACAATGATGCACATTTTAAAATAAAAGAATGATGCACATTTTAATAAAGCACAGCATAAACTGTTCTTTCCACTTCGGGCTGGCCGTGTATGTCTGTCCGTCGGATCGGGCCGCCAGCAGCTCGGCTCCAGCGCTAACCACAGCCTATCCATTCTAGAGCAGTGGGTCCCCTTCTGGCCGGCGGCCCCGCCCCGCTCCCCGCCCTGGAGGGGGGGGGGACACCCCTCGTCCTCTGCCCCTCCGGCTCCTGGGTTCTTGCTTTAACTCCACAGCACGGTGTTGAACCCTGGGACCTTGGCTGCCATCTAGTCAGCCACTCAGCTGCCCTAGCCATTCGACTCCTAGCGGCCCTATAGGGCAGGGGTATCAAACTGGCGGCCCGCGCACCCCTTTAACTACTGAAGACGGGTAGACACGTGGCCAGTGCCTTTCCTGGGGGCCTGTGGACGTGTATAAACTTGCTGACTCCATTCTGGCAACAACGTTGACATAAAGTGAATGGCCACCCATAGCAGGCCACTTAATCCCCCCCAGCAGTGTCGGATGACCCAGGAAGCAAGGTAAACACGAGTGCCCTTATACTTACTTATTAATCCGTAGTGAACAATTTCACACTTTCTCACCATGTCAAAAATTCTGTCCAACCAACCTTCATTAAATTTGGGACAAAACCACTCGCCAGATCTTTGGTGTCAGAAAAATAAAATAGATTGTGTTTTTTTAAATTGTCCAGCATGCCTCCTGTCTCCTGCTGCCCCACAGCACTTTCCCACGGAGCCAGGCCTTGATGGCACACAGTACCCAGTGAGCAAGGTGCACCCCAGGGCCCCCAGGTTTACTTCCTCAGCTTGGCACCCAGCCCCCATGGTGGAACTAGGTGCTGCCATCTGCTGTTTGGGAGCTCTGAGCCCTGCTGGTCTTGTCTGCCTCACTATATCTTGAGCTTTGGTTTCTCCAGGGGTGGTGAGACCCAAAAAAAAAAGATAGGGGAAGAGGTCTTTGAAACACTAGTTCTGAACTTCCTACGTGACAGTTGAGGGAACTGGGCCTTAGGAGACTAGCCTAGGGTCCCCCAGATGATAGTTACACTCCTCACTGCCTTCGGAAAGATGAAACACCCCAATCCATTCCTAGGGGATTCGTAATAACCCTAAAGACAAAGTCAACCTGTCCCCGGGGTTTCTGGAGCCGTGAATCTTTCGCATCTTCCTCCCACTAAGTGGTGGGCTGGGTCATCAACTTTTTGGTAGCAGCCAGACGCTTAACCCCTGCACCACTCGGGGGGCTCCTTGGTCTATCCACAGGCGGGCTCTAGTAAGTACAGGCTCTGTGGAAGTGGGAACATTTAAACTGAACCCACACTTCCCAATTGTGCTTGAGTAAGCTTCTGTCATCTTTATTAGATTAATAACAATAATACACACGCTCCCAGCAACTAACAATTATTTCTATATTGGAAAAACCATAGACATGTGCCCTGAGCTCTAAGTACAACCTTGCCCACATGGCCACATATGTAAAATGAGGTTGGTGACACCTGCTGGGAGGATTCTGCAAGGTCAAGCTGTGTGGCAAGAGGCAGGGACCCGGGTGCTGGCAGCCCTAAATGAGTTGGGGCTGCAGCTTGCTATTCCTACCTTGGGCTTCAAGAGGCAGCAGAGAGTCAAGGACCCTGTCCCCATGGGACCAGGCAATGCCCAGCCCTGGAAGGAGCTGGGGAAATCCCTCTTCTGGCCAACTTCTAGCTCCTACCAGGAACTGAGTAACTTGGGGGTGGGGGGTACCATTTCAAGAGAATCCTTGGTGGGGGAGAGGGTGGAGACAGAGCTGCCTCCCTCTCCCTGGGGGTAAAGCTGTCACCAGACCCTAAAGCAGAACCCCCAGATTTCAACCTTCCTCTCTGAGCCTAAAGAATGAGGAAGGGCCTAAGGCAAGGGGGTGCTCTACTCACTGCCTTTACTGACTTCTCTCTCAGATGCCTTATTAGCCAGGCCCACCCCTAAGGGACCCCTTTTAGAAGGAGGGGGCGAAGTACAGATGGACGCCCCCCTCCCCGGTAGCCATGGAGATGGCAGGGAAAGGGTTGCTGCATCACCATGGCAACAACTGACGTCAACGCTACTCTTTCCCATCCCTTGATATGAGAGGGAGCCAGCCACCCCAACCACAAGCTTATCCCCCACAAAGCCTCCTCCCCTGACTGAACCAATCAACCAGAGGGTTGACAAGGCTTGATACAGCACAGGCGGTAAATGCGCAGATTCTGCTGCCACTCAAACTGTGGTTCAAATCCCAGCTCTGCCTCATCCAGGTGATATGAATATGAGCCAGTTCTTTAACCCCTTAAAGTCTCGTAGGTACAGGGTGGGGGTGGGGGGAGGGTAGATCAGTGCTTCCAAGGGTTACTGTGAGGGTGACATGGGGTAGTACAAGGTAACAGGTTCAAGGGCCCGTTCACACAAAGTGAACCATTGTGTGCCCCTTCAAATATAGACCCAGAGCCTCCAGATGGGCCCCAAGACTCCAAGGACTGGCCCCCAGGGTTTGAGCCACTTAGGGTTTGGAGTCAGAAGCAATGGAATTTCCAGGCTCTGGGGAAACCCCAAATGCCACTTTCCCTGAAGCCCCATCACATCCGGACTCTGAGCCAACTTCCCCTTTCTCCCCTGCTCTGCCTGCTCTCTCAGCAGGACAGACTGACACCGTGGCTACAACAATGCGATGATGCGCTCGGACATGAGAGCGATTGTGAGGATGGCGCAGGACCGGGCAGTCTCTTCCAACTCGATGCCACCTGACAACGACTGCCTCCTCCCCAGCTTTCTAAGCTCCCGGGCCTCCATTTGCCTCTAGCAGGAAAGGTGGCTAGCGGACTCTGGGAGACCTCTGACAACCCACCCCAGTGGGCCAGTGGTTGGGCATAGGGGCTCCAGCTCCCAGCCAGCATTGTCTCGGGGGCTGCAATCATTCTCTTTCCCTCCCTCTTCCTCAGGCCTCAATCCAGGTGACCGCTGTCTCTCCTGCCCTGAGTCCAGGGCCACCACGAAGTCAGAACCCTCTCCCTGCCCGTTCCCTTCATCCCAGCAGGCCCCTAGGTGACCACCCTTCTTCCTCCCTGTCCTGGCTCCTCCAAGCGATTCTGTAATGGCCTCTGCACCACTCTCCTCCTCAACCCACGGCCATCGAGTTGGTGCTGATGCACAGTGACCCTATAGGACAGGGCAGAACTGCCCGTGCAAGTTTCTGAGACCGTGAATCTTCACAGGAGTAGAAAGCTTCATCTGTCTCCCTTGGAACAGCCGGTGGTTTCGAACTGCTGAACTTGCAGGTTAGCAGCCTGACTCATAACCCACTACACCACCAACGCCCTGCCATCCAGTCAATGTCAACTCGGCGAGCTTATAGGCCGGAATAGAGAAGCCCTGTGTGTTTCCAACTGACCTTGCGGTTCACAACCCGTGTGTAACCACTACACCCCCCGGGCTCCTTTAATTCTTGTCGTGGCTTCTTCATCCCCATTGCGGGACAGATTTCCAAATGGCTGCTGAATCACCTCTCGGCCTTGTGGCTAAGATCAAGTGCAAAATGGCTGCCCAGGACCTCGGAGGTCTTGCCTCAGGCCATCTTCCCGTGTGCTCTTCAGCCAAGTCAACAACCTCCCAGCTCCACACAAAACGTGTAACACGTTGTTCCTTCTACTTGGAATAATTTCCCTCCCGACCCCATTCATCCCTGAGAGGACTACCAGTTGTCATTTCTCCACGGCTCCCCAACCATGCATCTGATGATACGTTCTCGTCCCCTCCCCTAGCATTTGCTGGTCCCACTGTGCTGCCCTATCCATGCTTATTAACTGTCCCCTGATCCCTGCTGACTGCATGCCTCCCGGCTACTCTGGGAGGGACTCCCTGAGGCCAGGGACTGTCACATCCACCCTAACATCTCCAGGGCCCGACACAGGAGACCTCAGGAAGGTGTGGAACATCTATGAGTTAAGAAGACTACCTACTGGGTGACACTGCAGAGCACAGGAATTCTAGGACCCTTAACTGCGCTCATCTGGAACCTGTACATAGAGCAAGAGGTAGCCGTTCTAAGAGGAGAGGGAGATACTGTATAGTTTAAAATCACAGGTCATAGATCCTCTGATCTTACTTATTCAATCTGTACTAAACAAATAATCTGAGAACTGGACTCTATGGGGAAGGAAGACTTATTAACCTATGATATGCAGATGACACTGCCTTGTTGGATTAAAGTGGAGAGGATTATATCTCAAGATAAAACAATAATCCTCACATCTGGACCAAGAAGCAACATCATGATAAGTGGAGAAAAGATTGAAGTTGTCAGGCGTTTTATTGTACTTAGATCTACAGTCAGTGCCCATGGAAGTAGCAGTCAGGAAATCAAGCAATGTATTGCATGGGGTAAATCTGCCACAAAAGACCTCTTCTAAGTGTTCTGTGTTGTGTTTAAAGCAAACATGTCCCTTTAAGGACTAAGATGCGCCTCAGTTTTTATTTGCTTCAAATGGATGTGAAAACCGAACAGTGGCTAAATAAAACCAACGACTCAATGCCTTTGAATGACGGTGCTGCAAAGAATATTCAAGATGCCATGCACTGCCGGAAGAATGAACACATCTGTCTCGAAGTACAACCAGATGCTGCTTCCAAGTGAGGATGGTGCGACCTTGTCTCGCTTCCTTTGGACACGTTATCATGTGGTCGTGCCCCTGGAGAAGGACATCGTGCTTGGGAAAGTAGAAAGCAAACCCACAAGCCGACCGAGTCGATGTGCAGTGAAAAGGCCCCCACCCTGAGATCGATGGACACAGTGGCTGTAAAACAGGCTCCAACAGCAATGACGGGGGAGGATGGCACAGGATCAGGCCGCGTCTTGTTCTGTTGTACACAGGGTCACGATGAGTCAGAACCAACTCTAGGGCACTTAACGACATGACAAGAATAACAGTGAGTGGCTGCTGGGTAAATGCACAGAGGAGAGAAATAGCAGGGCACTGGCCTGGCTGAATCGCAGGCGGTTTCCCTAAGGATTTGACGCTTAACTGGAGGCTGAGCAGCAGTTACTCAGGCAGACAGGGGCGGGAAATGTCCCTGGCTTGGGATTAGTATGTGCTCGAGGTGAACTTGGTACTGAAGGCACTGCAGAGAAACAAGCCGTGGGAAGCCAGTGCTGGCTGCTCTGTGACGGGGGCCTTGCCGGAGCTGAACAGTGGCAGCCAGCGGAGGAGTGGGAGGCTGAGAAGGCACGAGGGCCTTGGACAGGAGTGTTGGCCATGGAGAGAGACAGAGAAGAGCTGAAGGGCTTATAGATAGATCCTGGAGAAGGCACTGAGGGGGGTTTGGCCATCCTTTGAAAATGGAAAGGGAGAGAGGCCAGTCGAGGACCAAGCCCACATTGGTGGTTTAGGCAACGGACTAAAAGGCCACCCTGGGGAATGTGTAGGGCACGTATCCCATGAAGTGGCCAGGAGGAGTCACCAATGAGATTCCCCTGGGACGGTAGGGGAGGGGAGGCAGGAGCATCCACAGGAGGCCATGAGCTGAGAATGCAACCTTTGTCCTGAAGCAGAGCCCAGTTCAGATAGCAAGGGACAGGACACAAGGAAGCTCCGTCTACAGAAAAGTCAGGGCAACAAAGTAACTCAAGGGCCGCCACTGCTGCAGGGGCAAGTCCAGTCAGATAAGGATTTGCAAGCATCCCTGGGATTTAGCAGCAAGGACCTTGACAAGTGGTGACCTTGCCAAGAGCTGTTTGGGTGAAATGGGGGAGTGGGTGGGGGGAAGGGGGGAGCAGCTGGCCAGGGATGAGTGAGGAAGTGGAAACACCGTGTGCACACAACTCTTTAAAGAATGTTGGCTGTGAAGGGGAGCTGGAGAAGGATTCAGGGTTGAAGGAGAACTCCCCCCCCCTTCCAAAGCTAGAACAGACTAGAGCCTGTTGTTCGCTGATGGAAGGGGGCCAGTCAGAAAGCAGGGGTTGGAGAGGGAAAAGTGCAAGGGACTAAAGGCGGGAGGCCCCCAAGTAAGGGCAGAAGGAGGGCACCCTAGATATGGCCGCACCATCCGGGATGGGAGCAAGTCAGGGCCTGTGCTGGGCTCTGGGGGCTCGGAGCAGCTGCCCACTTGCCCGGACAGCCAGTGTGAGTCACTGGGGGGAAATAGCCCACAACTGGCAGTGTGGGGGAGGGAGCTCGGCCAGCGCATTCCTCTGGGCTCCCAGGGGCTGAAGGCAGGGCCCTGCCCAGGCTCAGCGCCCCAGCCCTGAACCCCACAACCCCACCCAAGGAAAGATGAGTCCGGCCAGGCAGCGGAGTGGGAAGTCTTGGTTTTGCTTTGTGCTTTTCTGTATCCCTCTCTGAACCTCTGCTTCCCTTCTGCAACATGCCCAAGTTGGACCAAACCAAAGGTTTTTGATGTTTGGGGGGGCATTAAAGAGACTTTCTGGCATGTGCTTATGTGTAATTTGCAGACAGTCTAGCAGGTCCTTTAGCTTCCAGGTAAGACTTGAATCCAGCCAGTTGTAAGGCAATGGTTCTCAACCTTCCTAATGCCGAGACCCTTTAATACAGTTCATGTTGTGGTGACCCCCAAACATAAAATTATTGTCGTTGCTACTTCATAACTGTCATTTTGCTACTGTAATGAATCGGGCGACCCCTGTGAAAGGGTTGTTTGACCCCCAAAGGGGTCGAGACCCACAGGTTGAGAACTGCTGCTGTAAGGGATGAGGTGATGGGAGTGGCCTTCGGGTGTGGGTTCACCCAGAGTACCCCATCAGGCAGTGTAAGCAGAGGTTTGAGACCCTGGGTGGCAAGGAAGGCTTCTCCCTAGGCAGCTGACCTCCCAGCACTGGAACCAGCTCTCAGTCAGTTTGCATCTCTGAGGGGGGGTGAGTGTCTCAGGGGTCTTCAGATCTGGTGAGTGGCCTCCTCTCACTGAAGGGGGAGGGGGCGCTGGGGACAGACCTGATTAGACCTGTCTCAGGAGGGGCCAGCGCTGACCCACCCTTTCTGCCAGCTGACGCTTCCTACTAAAAACAGCCAGCAGGCCCAAAGGGACTATGGGCTTCCAGGCCACCCCCCTTCATGTCCGGCCTGGTATTAAAGAGGCTGAGGCCAGGCCAGGCGGGCTGGCCACCATGCTATTCACGGAGACAGCCCACTTCGTGGTGAATTTTCTTCTGTCCCGGTGAGGGGGTAAAGGAGGGAGGTTGCTATGGGTAAGGGGCCCTGACTGGGCAGCTGGGGAGAAGCCGCTCAGGTCCTCGGGAAGGCCTGTTTGGGGACTCTCCACGCCCTCTTGGTCCCATCTGCCGGATGGGATCCCGACCGGTCAGCGCCAAGGCGCCCGCTCCTCCCGGCCTGCCATGTCCTCCCGGGTGACCTCTGCCCACCCGCCCCGCAGGAGGCCCCGCGCCACGGCTCCACACCGCCTGGACCAGGAGTTGTGTTTCTGGGGTTACCGGGGCCCAGCCTTGCCGGAGCCCGCCGTCCGCCGCAGCATGGGAGACTTCTGGCTGAGCCCGCAGCGCCGCCGCCCGCCGGGGACCACCTGGCGCTGGCCCACGCGCAACCTCGTGCTGCTCCCGGGGAGCACCAGCCTGGCCGACGTGCCCTCGGCGCGCTGGCCCAGCTGCTACGGCGCGCGCCCGCGCCTCATGTGAGCGCGCCGCGCGGGCCGCGGCCTGGGGAAGGGGCGGGTGAGGGCGGGGCTGAAGGAGGGGCGGGACCTCAGGGAAGAGCGGATCTACAAGGCTCGGGACCGGTGGGGGCGGGGGGGACCTTAGGAGTGATGAGAGGGGGCGGAGTTGGGTGAGAAGGGCGGGGCCAGAAGGCAGCTGGGCGTGGAAAAGTGGCGGGGCGTGTGATTGGAGGGAGGGGGAGCCGACCCGCCCAATATTTTCTCCTTCCAGGTGGAAACATCGGTGGCAAGATATTAACTATCAATTCCTACGCAAGAGGAAGAGACATCTAGTGCCCCTGCGTCCCTGAGAGCTGGTGAGGGGCAGGGCCAAAAGGAGACAAGTCTGATAGGCCGGAACTTCACAGAGGGCGGGTCCGGGGGCGTGGCCTCCGCTGCTGCTGCTGCCTTCCGGGGGCCAGCACCTTGCAGGGTTGGGCTGCAGAAGGAGGGTTCCCGCAGGCCGCCCGTGGGTCTCGGTGGGACCCTCGGTGTGCAGACCTTCCCTTTAGACAAAAAAAAAAAAAAAAGACCCCTGAAAAAGAGTCTCAAACGGGGCTCCTCAGACATGAATGCCAGCGTTGTGTCCAGAGTACATGCATGGGTCAAGATAGGTCAGCCCGCGTGGAGAGACCAAGCCTAATGACTGAAGCCAGGCAAGATGTGGGGCGAGGGCCCTGAAGAGCAGGGTCGGCCATCGATTCCTCTGTGTATGTCTGTCTGCTGCGGTTGTTTCATCTCTGGATGTCTCTATTCACCTCCGAACTCCGGGCTTTCCCTGTCAGCCCCACTAACGCTGGTCTCTGTGCCCCTGGTATACTTAACAAGTAGGGCCACAACCGCAAGGGCAACAGTTCAAACCCACCAGCTCTCTCCTCTGGCAAAGAGTTACAGTCTCAGAAACCCACAAGGGCAGTTCTATCCTGTCCTGTCGAGTCGAGTCACTAGGAGTCCGAATCGACTCGATGGCAGTGAGTTTGTTGTGGTTTTGTGTTTGTGTGGCTGGTGCCAGATTTATAACACAGAGACAGCCACTGGGTTCACACTGATGAAACCCACCGGGTGGCCCCTGGCTAGCTCCTGGAGCTTACTACATCCTGTTGAGAGACAGCCGATTAAAGGAGTCGGCAGGCTGCTGCTGGGTTGGAGAACAGAGGTGGGGCAGGCCCTTCGCTTGTCCAGAGATCTTGCTCCGGTGCCTAGAGCACTACCACACAGTCATTCCTGTTGTTCAGCGCCTTCCAGATTGGCTGCACCAGGACTCCCCTGTGACTCGATCGCCAGGCTTCCTCCTACAGAGCTACTGAGTCGGTTCGAAGCTTAACTTGTGGCTTCAGGGCTGGTGACACAGAGTTGGGGCCAGTCAACGTTGAATGACTACGTAGGTTAGTCAGGAGGTCCTCTCTCAGGAAGTAACTCTTAAAGTCTTGGAAGAACACCCTGGGAAGGCTATTCCAGGCGGCGAGTTCTGCCCCTGTCTTTCTACTATCTGCTGTCTCCCTGTTGCTGGGTCTCTGCTTTTGTCTGTTGTCTTTGAGATCTTCACAGCTC